TCTAACCACAAAATGCTGTGGTTACAACTTACAAGAACACATTAATTAATTAATTAATTAATTAATGTCTATCTATGGTATATGCTTGCACGTTCAGTGAACATTAAAGGCACGTGAACACCATCTGTTATTCTGCTATTGTAGTAGCAAACAATGTGTTTGTATCTGCTATTGTCATGTACTCTACAACAAATTAATACAAGAGATTAGATACCATCATTCCGTTATTATAATCATCATCAATTCATTATTACTAAAAATTTTCAAAATTTGTTTTTTTTTAAATTTGAAAATTCATGACATATAACCCCTCAAAAAAGTAACATACAATATGTACTACTAGGACAAAAAACCCGTGAGATTAAAACAGTGACAACATTGACATATTGTATGACCTAACCACCCAGGTGTAAGTATTGTGCTGACAAATGATAAGCTGAGTCAGCTGCTCACCTAGTATAGCATGCTCACGTGATTTGTAGTAAATTATTTTTAATAATTAATACTTTGTGAGACTAATTAGTACACAATAATAAAAAATAATACAATAATAATATTATTATTATGTACTAATAAGTCAAATAAGTGCAGTAGATCTACTAGAAGGGCGGGAGATGAAGTAGACCTCGTGGGTTAGCAGCTCTCGGCAGTGCTCGCCATATAGCAACAGCAAAAGGTACGGCAAAATATTCCACCAAAACACTAAAAAATATTTTAAGAGTCATAATTATGACACAATTATGTCATTACCGGGTGTATTTTGAAATGGTGACGTTATGCTGAGCCAGAAAAGAGCCAACTTCTTTATGAGAAGGGAGGCAGGCAAGAATATGTTCAGCACCGTCTTCAGTTGAGTTATCAGGTGGCTCATGATCAGGAGCCACAGGAGCTCCTTCATCAGAGGGAAGATAATCAGGAGTTCCTTCATCAGAGGGAAGATAATCAGGAGCTCCTTCATCAGAGGGAAGATAATCAGGAGTTCCTTCATCAGAGGGAAGATGATCAGGAGTTCCTTCATCACAGGGAAGATGATCAGGAGTTTCAAAAGTACCATTAGTGGCATTAGGATGTTTTAATTCCAGTACAACTTCACATTCTATCTTCTATAGTTAAGTAAAAAGCAACTAGACTAGACATAGCAAGAAATATAATATCTAACCTTAAAAGGACAGAAGATGAATGCATATGCCACAAGCAATTTTAACATATCCATCACACGATCCTTGTAAACTGAAGCTTCTTCTATAACTTTTGGCAGAACTGAACATGTACATATGGCTGAACCTGATTGGCCACCGTCACTTCCGTCACGTGTAACTTTATTGACATAATTAAAATTGTTACTGCCGCCTTCGTCATATAATTTTAAACAGCTCAATGTCAACAATCACATAGATACAATTACTGTGTGGGGTAGAAATATGCATACCAGTACATTGTCTGCTTGAGTGTAAAATAAACTATATAGTAAGTACATGAATATTGTATATCAAGGAAATCTTTGACGTCTTAATTTTTTGCAAATTGATTACTTTCAAGATTTTGCAAAAATTATGCATTTTAGCTTACATGCTAGGAGATTTTGTACTAAAATTAATTTGCAATTACAAAAATTAAGCAACGGGTAAAAAAATTCAGATAGAAAACCAAATATGATACTACAGTTAATCCTTACTATAACTCAGTTCCATCATTTGGTGTACCACGTTAGGCTCATACTTGCTCACTCCCAATACTCTCCATAACAGCTCCATCTCTCGAATAAGCCTTGCCAATTATGCGCATAATAGACCCATCGGTCCCATCCCAAGGCCATAGATAATCTGAACATAGATTGTACTTAGTAATATTTATTCCTTCTTACAGCTTCTCTTAATGCTTTGTTTGATTTTTCTTCAGTTTGAAAGCTGGAAAGCTTGAGATCAGCATTCAGCACATACATTGCCAGGTAGCTTGCCGTCCAGTGTGGGCGGTTCTATGATAGAATATGCGGTGCAATTAGATAGTGATCGCGATAAATAGCCTAGGGATATGGGCATGGGTCTATAGATGCATATGAACAGTTTACACAATATTCCAGAATAATGGGTGGAGATTTTTATATGGTCAGTTATTAAAAATTATTAAATATAGTACTGCAATAGTAAATTAATGGTCATACTAAATAAATACAATAACAATAATAGACCAGCTATAATGTGTTCTTCATGGAGCTATTTCATCGTTTTTCTTAGACAGTTTAGCAGTTGGTCTTTTTGAAGGCTTTCCTCCTATAGTACAATGTAAGTTAAGTAACCATACATACATAAAATCCAATCTTCTATATACTTGCCTTGCTTTGAGCTGTCTTTTCTCTTACGACCTTTATTATATCGGGACATGAAACCCCACTGAGACAATCTCTCCTACATACCAACAAATAACTAACTATTATTATTATCATTATTAATGTATCATTACATTTAGTGGTAGCTTTTGCCTGCGACATTGCTGTAGAAAGACCAGCTTGATACTTCAATGGAATCTGTAAGATACAGCATATTTATGCATGTATAAATGCAAATAAGCTAGCTACATGTATATGCACTGTATTATGTTTTATCCTTTCTCAGTTCTCACTAACATTTGATCCACAGTCCTTTAAAGTGGTACTACAAGTAAATGGAGCAGTGTTTAGTGCATGAATCCAACTCCTTGATACTGGTGTATCAATAAAGACAACATGATTGATACTTCTCCTATGATTAAATGAATACAGTCTGTGAATGTGAGGCTTATAACTTACAGGTGTAGCTGGTGAAGGTTTTCCGCCTTTTTCATTCTTTGCTTTATAGTAGGTATCAGTGTCAGGATCAGCTTCTATTATACCAGGCCACCTAATTATTAAGAGTTATAAAATGGCTGGGAGTCAGAGGGAACCTTTTTATTTTATTACATTTCTTTCTATTCATGTAATCATGTTATTTTAAAATGAACTCAAAATTCAATTTTTGAAGTTGCTCAATAAATTAGACCAAAAACCATACACTATAGTATAGTACAGGTTAGCCAGACTAAGTACAGGCAGAGTCTTTGGTCAAATCGCCAAAAATGACTGGGAAAGAATTCATTTTTATTACATGATTTTTTCTGATACATATACATGTTCTTCAAGTTTGAGCTGATTTTAGATTCATTACTGATTAAAGCTCTTTTTGTAACTTTGTGAAATAGCTGTGCAGACTGCATCTCCATCTTGAATATCTATTTTAATATTAAAATAATTAGTAATCCTCACAGTTCATATTCTTACCTCCAGGATATGACTGGCAAGGCTCTTCATAATTCCTGGAGCAATCAGTCTGGGCTGCAGCAGAACTGATGAATGTCACTGTCAGAAGGAAAAGTAGAAGAGTTGCATGCAGCCACAACATAGTCGGGAGAAGGAGGAGGAAAGGGAAGGGCTGGAGCTATTGTTGTGGTCAGTTGTATTTAAACAGCAAAACCGCATCATTGTTGTCATATCCGAGCAGTCAAGATGCTGCAAGTATTGTTTCTAATGGTATCTTTAGCATGCTCTGTAAAGGGTAAGCATATAGTTAGATTTTATGCAAATTAGATCTATTCTTCTATAGCTATTCTTGCTCCACCTTTACCAATTAATGCAAGTCTTGGCTCCACTGCAGTGTTTACCTGTGTGTGTCATGATTGTATTGGGCAATATTGGCTTGTTAATGGTAGATCTGCAGAATTTCAGGACATCCAAGAGAAAGGTGTTTTTCCAAATGGACCATACATTTTTCCCAATGGTAGTAAGCAGTATAATGTATCAGTTCCTGCAACTGTTCAATGGAATGAATCAACAATACAGTGCGTTGTTAATCGTAATTGGGAATATTTTGAAAGTCCAATAGTAAAATTGTTGGTGCAAGGTATGATGAAAATGATTAAAGTAGGACTTTATTTTTACTTAGGTTTGCTATCAAAGGTTACTGCTACAGTGACACAAATCAATAGCACAACATTATTACTTAAATATGAAGCACCAGATACACTAACAGGGGTGCCAATATTATATTATAATATAGTAATATCACCAACTGATGTATCAGTTAATATTACTGATACACAGTACAAGTTATATCTTAATGAGTTTTGCTCTACTTATAACATTAGCATAACACCATGGAATATTGTTGGTAAGGGCAATACTACCATGGTATCAGGCATCATATTATATCAAGGTAAAATTAATAGTATCTAATAGTACTGATGTATTTATAATTTTTGGCAATTTTAGTTCCAGTCATTACAACACCACACCTTGTTGAGGGAACTCTAGAAGCTTTCATTGACTTTCAGGTAAATAGGTCTATATCTCTGTTAAAAAATAATTGCAGCTAATGATCTAGACATCATAATACTTTTTCTATTTTATAGTACAACAAGTACTGTATTGGAACAGTACCACAATTGGTTTTATTGCACATAAATAATGAAAAATACAACTGTTCATTGGTATCTCCTACTACTATTTGCACCAGTATTATTACTGCAGATATTAATGATGCTAATGTTACCATTAACATAAGTAAAGTTTTGGAATATGGAACTACATACAGTGTTGAAATGTCCCTTTATACTATCAATAATATCGGCTCTAATAATTTCACTTTCAAATTCAGTAAGTATGCTTGTTTGATATGATATAGTCTATTTTTTCACATACATGTAGATACATATCATGTCATTTCTGCTACTATATTGTCATCTAATGACTCAACCGTTTGCGTCCAGTGTAATTTTAGAAATAATTCCCAATCAACAGGTTGTTATGCAGCATTTCAACTCATTAATAACAATGAAGGACCGATTTCAGCAACAATTGTATATTATGAAATAATAAAGCCACTGATGGATACAGTTGCCATTGGTTGTATTAATACATTGCCTAATGGAATGTACAGTGTATCAATATTGGATACATTGAGTTATCAAGAGGGAAGATTCAATAACACAGCCATCAATATGTCATCAATAATAATTATTAATAACACTATTATTACTGATGCCGGCATTACTAGCAGTGCAATATTTATATCCACTACAATATATGGTAATTTTTAACTGAGTATTTACTTAATTGTGTTTATGTGTCAAATTTTTTTATAGATATAGAGAGTTATGTGGTCAATATTGCCTCCCCTGATGTAATTAACAGTATACCTTATTCCTCAAGCTATGTCACTTTCTCAAGTTATGATATATCCTCAAGTTATGCTACTTGTAGCTCAGATTATGTTACTCCTTCAAGTTATGCTACTTCCTCAGGCTATGTTACTTCCTTACGTTATGCCAATTCCTCAAATTATGATGATTTTGTACCTGTTGCAACAAATAATGCACCAGTTTTGATAATATCACTGGCCAGCATACTACCAGTATTGATAATAATAATAATAATGGTGCTATTGTTGGGTGTTTGCCTAATTGTAAAAAAGAAAGGTATGATATTGGTACAAGTACAACATAGCAATAATAATGCATATTACTTTTATTCAGAGTAGATCTACTCTTGCTTTTATCAGAGATTAGCTCTGCTTTTATTTACCAACAGGTCTATCAGAAGATGCAGCAATACAAAGCAATGAAGCATATGGTATAAGTTTACCTGGTAAAGCTAGTGGTATGATGCAGTCTAACATTGCTTATGAGAGTATTTCAATGGCACTACAGACTAATGCTATTTATGAACAAGTTGACATAATAGTGTATGAAAAAACTAAATAATTGTTATTTCTTTACAGATGATTATTCTTATTTTTGCTTGATTTTTTATCATTCTTTTGATTGATTTTGTTCTTTGTTGTTGTATAACTTGCATTATTGTTAAAGATTTGTTTAAAAAAGCAAAATATTTTAACACAACTTACTAGATATACATAATTATTACTAAGTCTATGTCATGAAAAAAAATCAATTAGGTTTTGCAGCATTTAGCCTGTGGTAATCTACACCTAATGAACTTGCTACATATAATGCACATATGCCGTTTCAAACATTTGTAGCAGCAACAAAAAATGAATATGATAACCAGAGCCAAAAATAGAATTCCTGTTAAACTACCAAGGCCTGCATTAGCACCAACAAAAATGATTAAAAAATAGCAATGCTAGTGATTAGATCTATATTAATGCATGAGTAAAATAAATTTTAATAATGATATTAAAAACACTTGTGCTATATAGAAATACCTGTACATTTTGGGGCTTCATTTTCCTGACTAGTAGGTTTTGTTGAAGAGCTACAATTACAGGGCAAGCTTTTATTAATACATGGCACAGTAGTTGATTCTTCTGTAAAACAAAAATATTAATTACTAAAATTACACAATTATTTTTAATAGTAGCATTACCAATTCCAATCAAAATACTGCCCCATGAATGGCATGGCTCGCATGAGTAGTTCCCACTTGATTGTGTACCAACACATCTTACTTTAACAGGCTCTGTGATAGTGATATTGTGGCAAATCAATGTGCCATCCATGTCAATAGCATCACATTTAAGTGACTTGGTCTCATTTTTCTGTATGGTAGACATATACATTGCTACATGCACACAATTGCTAGTGGAGCAATTAAAGGTCACTAAAGTATTAACTGGAACAGTTCTGGATGTGGCCTTCAGACCCATCATAGTTTTCAGACTTACTAGTTCTAGATCTAGAATATCTAAAATTTATAACCATCATTTAGATCTACTTTTTAAATAAGATAAAGCCACTTACTACAACTCAATGCTAGAGATATGAGACCCAAAGTATATAAAATGATGATTTTCATGGTCTTCACTGAAAAGTTGGAGCAAAACTTACAGCAAAATTCCCTTAAATCCTCCCACATCTATGAAAATACCAGACCACCCTAGATCTACTATAAAATTAAATTATGGTAAGAGTATGTGCACTGATGCCAATGTGTTAACTCATTATGGTGAGTAGTCTAGTACTGATGTGTAGTGCTATAATAGTGCTATACAATAGTGATCATGCTGAATAAATACAATAACAATAATAGACCAGCTATAATAGATCTAATATGAAGTGATTAATTCTGATATAGTTATAAGTGATTAATGCTGGGTGAATAATGTATACAAGATGTGTTCTTCATGGAGCTATTTCATCGTTTTTCTTAGACAGTTTAGCAGTTGGTCTTTTTGAAGGCTTTCCTCCTATGGTACAATGTAAGTTAAGTAACTATACATAGAATCCAATCTTTTATATACTTGCCTTGATTTGAGCTGCCTTTTCTCTTACGACCTTTATTATATCGGGACATGAAACCCCACTGAGACAATCTCTCCTACATACAAACAGATAACTATTATTATTATCATTATTAATGTACTACATTTAGTGGTAGACTCAAAGCAGATTTTGCCTACGACATTGCTGTAGAAAGACTAGCTTGATACTTCAACAGAATCTGTAAGATACAGCATATTTATGCATGTATAAATACAAATAAGCTAGCTACATGTATATATAATGTATTATGTTTTATCCTTTCTCAGTTCTCACTAACATTTGATCCACAGTCCTTTAAAGTAGTGGTACAAGTAAATGGAGCAGTGTTTAGTGCATGGATCCAACTCCTTGATACTGGTGTATCAATAAAGACAACATGATACTTCTTCTATGATTGAATGAATAATACACATAGTCTGTGAATGTGAGGCTTATAACTTACAGGTGTAGCTGGTGAAGGTTTTCCGCCTTTTTCATTCTTTGCTTCATAGTAGGTATCAGTGTCAGGATCAGCTTCTATTATACCAGGCCACCTAATTATAAAGAGTTATAAAATGGCTGGAGGCAATTTTTCATTTTATTACACTTCTTTCGTAAAAAATTAGCTGATTTTTGTCAAAATTCAATTTTAAAGAAATCAGGTTTTGCACTATAGTACAGGGTCTTTGGCCAAATTATGCCAAAAATGACTAGGAGAGAATTCTCCATTTGTATAATTTTTTCTGATACATATACATGTTTTTATGTTGTGTAGAAAGTTTAAACTGGTTCCAATCAAAATTAGATTTTTTTGCAAATTTTTAAAGTTGCTAAAAATTGGCCCAAAAACCATGATAATTAATTTTTAGAACTTCCTACCATGGATATCCTTCGAGTTTTGCAAGAAGGAGTGATCCAGGTGTGTAAGGAGAGTACACATAGACCTCATCAGTATCTAAACTTGACCACTTCTCCTCTTCTATAATGCAGCTGTTGTACTTGGAGTCTACAGTAATATAAATGAATGAAAGGTAGATGTATATCAAAATCTTAAATTAAAGAAATTGTAATTATGCAGAACAAGGTTATTATGTCATAAATAATATTACTAATAGTACATTTAAGTTGATTTAACTTTATTGAAGTAATATGTTTAGGCTAATCGTAGTTAATATGTGCATTTGCAAACCTTTATTCATATCACAATACCATTTGTCAGGTAAGTCCATTGGATCTTTGACGTTAATCAAGAACCTCCACTTCAAACAATCAGGATTATCACACTGTACCCATATCCCATCATTTTCCTTCTCTTTGTTACTGGGTGGTGAGGCACTCTCATCATTTTGCTTGCTCTTGGGAGATGGTAGAAATTCTTCACTTGAGTATGACTCAGAAGATGGCTGACTTTGCGTCATGTAAAAAGGAGGTGTAGTGTTAAGCTGATCAGGACTTGTACTGATTATTGATTCAGTTTTAGTTGACACAGTGCACTTCTTTGACGTCTTTGATTTGATGGAATTGTTTGTCTGGCTCAGTCGCTTTCTCTCTGCTTGTATCTTCTGATCTAGTTTCTCTTCTTCCTTTAGAAATTCTTCCAACTCTCTTTTAGCTCTTTCTTTCTCTTCTTCATTTTGTTCTTCATTGTTCATTTCTTGGAGAGGGGTTTCTGTTACTTTTAGAGTCTTTTCTTCTGTAGCTTTATCAGTTCCTGAAATCTTCTTTGCTTTTTGAGCTCCTTTCTTCTTGCTAGTAGCACTGTTCTTATTTCTTCCAGCTGCTCCATCTTTCTCCACTTCTTTGATAATTTTCTCAACCTTTTTAGCAACTTTTCCAATTTTGTTGGCATTTTTTGTATCCTTTATTTTCAAAGACACTCCCTTCTCCTTAAACTCAGCCATTTTCTTCCTACCTTTCCTTACCTTAGCAGTAGAATCAGTTTCCTCCAATACTTCACTAATTGTAGGTATGGTAGGTGGCGCTCTTGCTTCAACTGAGGCGTCGTCTCCAGGTTTTAAAGGTTGGGATGGAGAACCCTCTCTAGCTGACATATTGTCACTTTGCACTGATAATGACTTGACTCCGTTTGAGGTTTCTTCTTGTGAAGAGGAGCAAGATGGAGGAGGAGGAGGCGGGGGAGATTTTGCTTTCAGCGGAGGTCGTTTCTTTGCTGATGTGGTTGTTCCTTTTCCTTTCTTTCCAAAACAAGGAACAATTTTGAGTTTTGGGGAGAGAGAAGGAGGAGGAGACGAGACTGGAGATTCTGTGACGATATCTTTTTTGTGAGTTTTTGTTATGGTGTCGTTCTTTTGAATGTCCTCCTCGTAGCTTAATGAAATATTACAGGCAGCAGCAGCTGGGGTTAATCTTATAGGCGAATATTTAATGATTGGAATGATTGGAGAAGCTCCTGATTCTTCCAGAGAATCGTCCAGCACTGAGGAGTCTGGAACTGCAAGAATAAAGATCCTAAATATTTTGAATAAGCTATTATGCGGTTTACCTCTTGCCTCTGTGCTCATTTCTTTAGTTCTTTTCTTTCCAGCTGCTGCAAAACGTGTAGCCCCTCCTTCTCCTTTGAAGGGGCGGGGTCACAATACGGTAAGGGTCATATCCGTTTTTTCTCTCCGTTTATGTGAAACACGTGTGTCATGAATGACTAATGAATATTCATGAAAGCTCATTAATATTCAACACCACGTGGGAGTGAATCAAGAGGTATTTCGCTGACGACTCACACATACTCCAATCTAATCTCAATCTTAGCCTCTCTCCTCTCCTCCTCTCTCCTCACTGATGGCTTCTCTATAGAGTATAGACTACAACAGTTTCCTCCAAGAGATAGGTGAGAAGTAGTGAGTGTGTTTGGGCGTGGCTAACAATTACCAGTAAACAAAGTGACAGGAATTAAACACATATATTTATATATATATTTACATGTACTCGTTCTTCAGGTTCCCCTTTTCAAACTATCATGGCTGATCTAACTCCAGTCTCTGACCTACCACACCTTCCTTCCTCTGAAAATAATCCACCTGATGATGTTTCTAATTTTAAATTAAAAGATGACAATTTATCGACTAGAGATGAGCAACTAGAAGAAGAAGAGGAGGAGGAGGAGGAAGACAATTTTGAATCTGATGATCTAAGAAATTTTGAAGGGCTAGATCTCGAAGATGACCCGGTCAATGACTACAACGAAGAGTCTGTTAATTTTGAATTGGGTGACCAACTCAATTTTGCTGTGGACGATCCAGTAAATTATGAACACATTGAATACCTCCCAATTGAGGACAGCACCACCGAAGATCAAGAGACTCTCCCCGGAGAGTCCACCACTACAACAGATGCTGGTGGGTATCATGACGACCAGGCCCTTCAGAATGGAGGGCGTGTCACTGATACTCGCTACCAAACTGAGACGGTGTTCATAAGCTCGTCTCGTGCCGTGGGTGGGGTTCATTCATACGAGAACTGGCCGATATTTTTAGGATTGGGTGATGAGACAGGAAAGAGGAAGAGGAACCTCACGAGGTTTAAAGGATCCCGTGCCCCCATCATTAGACAAAGACCACCTCAACCATTACCGAGGTTAGTTTGAGCCACACACACAACACTTCTTAATGTTGTTGTATTATAATTCATATACTGTTAGTTATAAACTTATAATGATCCTAAATATCTGTAGAAAATTAAATCCTTATTGTCCTTATTACTGAGCACTATTATTACATGTGCAATGCATATCTCATCATCATCATCATCATTATTATTATTATTTATTACTATTTTTATTGATTTTTCATTTGCATGCTACTAATTTACTATTATTAAGGATTATTGTTATTCTTTAATATTATTTTTATAGTAAGTTCACTTACTTGTACTTGCATGATTTCACAAGGTTAATGAGGTATCAAAGGTTACCATGTACTGAAGGTAATCATGTAGAGGGTATAGTCATAATGAAGGGAATGTTCTTTTAGCTTGATCACTAAAGGAGTTATAGTTGCCCTGGGAAGTAATTTAAGACAAATGTCAATAATTATGTGGATGAGTAGTACTTTAGAATGTTCTGCAGAAAGCTTGGGCTCACAAATTTTTGAGTTGCAAGCATTTGAAATATAAAAAAACTTGTACTATATGTACATGTATACACAACTACAGATTAAAAAAAATAATTTACATGAATATTGACGCCAAGTTTGAGCCAATTCCAAGTGCAAATTCTTGTGCCATTAGCAGCTTTTTTGTAGTATTTCTTTTATTGTGTATTTTTGTATACTTTTAGAGGAGCAAATAAAGTCAAGACCCCACGCCCACCGGCTCCCCTCCCACGAAAGAGGCGGATACCAATAAAGCCCCGCCCACCTCAAGGAATGGTGACCAGCGAGGGTGACATGGCTCAAGCGGACGAAACAGGAGATGAGGAGGGACGGAGTGACGACGGGTTTGTCGAAGGAAATGATCCCGGGGGAAGTGGGCGACGTCGGAAGAAACGCCAGCCAGGTAACATTATTATTATTGTTGTTATTAAACAAGAAATGTTATGGATTATTTAGAATGATTAGTTTTTGTGCAATGTGACGCATGTTTCTGATGTTGTTGCTAATTTGCTTGTTAATAGGAGTCAGGGTGTGTCTGCATTTCTTCATGTTATTCTGGTATCCACCTTCATATGATCCGGGTTCCACCCTTTTGTTAGTTTTTGTTAGTAAATGCAACAGCACTGTAGTACATAAAGTATCATACATTATCTATCTGCAAGCACATTTATTATGCATTTATTATTAAGAAATACAATTTTGAAAGCTGGATCTGTTTTTTTAAATGGCGAGGCTTGTTATTCTTTGAAGTGTTTTTCTTCTTGTGGCTATCAAAGCAGTTGGTTGTATCCATATTTATACATGTACAGAATTATGATATACAGGTGTTCATGAATAATAATTATAAGCTAACCACACCTACTATACTATGGCCAGGCCAACCAGTGTGCTCCATAGAGTGTGATAGAGGACAAGGGAAAGACAAAGTGTTAACAGTACTCCTTTAAGTGTAAGCTAAACCCTTTCATATATAACTGCTGCTGTATGATTCAAGCTCTGTTGTGTTGCTGTACACTTGTCAGACAATAAGCAGTTTATCCTCTTCCTTCCTCTTACTCTCCAGTTGTGTGTGTGGGCAGTTTGGCTAGAGATTAGTCTGCCTTATAGGAGTAGTGACTAGCTTACTGTCACCTCTCTCTCTCTCTCATCCCCCTCTCTCTCTTCTTTTAAGGTAAGAAGTCCTACTAGTAGCTTGTTAATAAGTACTTGTACTGCTTAGTGTACTTAAATATGGAGTGAATCAGTTTTGTGTAGCCCAGGAGTAGATTCTTCTCAACTCCTTTAGTTTTAATTGGAGTAATAATCCTCACTTATATAGACATCACTGGCAACAAAGTTTGTAGACAAAACTTCAATTATCTGTGTGGTATTATACAGCATAGTACATGTAGATGTAGACCTATTATGATATTAAGAAGTTGGTATTGTGTATGCTTGTTCTTACTTGTAATACAATGTTTATACGTGTATGTATTATAGTACGTGGTTGAGTGGTTTCCTCTCTCTCTCTATCACTCAATCTGATGCCAAGTTCCTTTGTATGGCTTTTGTGTTTATCTGTATACTCTAGTAATCCTCAGTAAACCCTCTGTATAACCCTGTAAACTATACATGCAGCCATGTCTAGGCATGTTATTATAGGCTGTGACCCATGCAGGATGTTGCCATTAACTAGTTTCTCTCTGTATATCAAACCATCAATAGTTTGCTTGTACTTTCTATATCCTATGTCTCTTTTCCTTTCTAAAGATGTCCTCTATCATTAAGACTGTTAAAGGTACCATATCTCTACAATAAATATACAATCTTTATGTAGTACAATACAATAAATGTACATGTACCTGTTCCTTTGTTCTATCTAAAGTCTCTCCCATCTCTCTGCAAGTATAGTCCAGCTGCTATATTTTGAATGCAGTCCATTTTATGTAGATATGAGTGTAGTATTCATTGGAGTAAGTGGATGGTGTATTGAGGTTACTGTTAGCCTACAAGCGGTTATGTAGCATGCCTGTTCAATACTTGTTCATACTCTAACTGTTAATTCTAATATATGAAATGATTTTTATGCCCATAAGGCCCCATCATATTCTATTGTATTATACTGTATGATCCATGCCTGCATGCACAAGTTTGTGTCATTGTGGCTGAAAAAAGACTTGTATGTGTTTCCCCTTCTTTCTCTCAGTGAGCTAGTGTTAGTGTATTCTCACTGTTCGTAGTTTATAATTATTAGTCTTCTAACCGTTTGTGTCACTCTTTGAGGACTAGGTGTTTAGTGCTTGCTGTTCCTTATTCTCCCCCCCCTCTCTCTGTTTGCTGTAACCTTGCACTCATATAGTCTGATTTATAGTTTGATAATTTGCTACACTGCGTTGTTGTATTACTACTCCTTCTCTCCCTCTTGTGTATAGGGATAGCTCCTATCTTATCAACAGCTGTTAGTCCTCCCTCCAGTCCTTCCAATACTCCCCTATCAGCAAGGTATTGTATTATATTACTCTACTAATATATCCTTTATATCTTTCTTTTATCAATCTTCACTGTCTCTTTTTCCTCATTCACTTCAATTCATCTATTACTTTTTTATTTATTTTTCTCTCTCTTCCCTGCTAGGAGAAGGACCACTGCATCAAGGAAAGGCCGTACAAAGCCCAGACATAAGAGACAGTCAAAGCCATCAGTGCCTGCCTCTGCTGATATTAGTACACAGGAGACCACTACAACACCTGGTACAGGCTCACATACCACACACACACAAACAATAACATGCCATTAATATCACTCAACATGCTCTCACTCCACCCTCACTCAATATAGTGTACAATAGAAGAGTGTAGCACTCTCTCTCTTTGTTTATAAATGTCTTCCCACTCTCTGTCTCTTGTTGTTGTAAAGTATAGTATAAGTTGGTATGACCTCATTAACTGTGTGGGAATGATTTCATTCTCATATTGTGTATAGCAACAGCCCACAACTACAGGTGTGGGGAACAGACTACTATTGTACATTTGTAGTAAATAAATGCACACATGTATTTCTCAACTACATGTACATGATCTTAGCAATATATCTCCCTAAATCTTGCCTCATCTCTTCCTTACTTCTCAAGTTCTTGTGTAATAAATTAGTCATATCTTCTTTTCTTTTATCATATTATCATGTTAGCCCTAGCCTTGTCCAATGTTGTCTATCCTATAGTCCAATAATGTTATTTCTTGTTATTTCATAATTATCAGCTTCTGTTTATTGTTGACTTGCCAAGTCCATCACTTTCAAAATTATCACATCCAAGGGACAGAGGGGGGCACATTTCCCCCTCCACCCATTTTAGACTTTTCCCCCTTGAAGTGACCGTATTGCTACAAGCACTGCATTTTTAGTATTACATTTTGCGTACATGACATAGTATAACTTTATTAGTTCTTATGGAGCTGGTATGAGCACTTTTGTGTGGTGGGGTATTATTTTGTATCCAAT